TTCTTCCTCATATCTCTGTCCTATAGAAATTCTACTCACCCATGAAGCGGAGCTCAAGCACCATTTCTTCCATAATACATCAGGTGGTGACCTTAAACCAAGCCTCACCTAAAGGACTTATCCTTGTCAAATTCTGACTCCTGTTTGATATAGTGCATCTCAAGTGCTTTGGCTTCTGTTTTTACACCATCTTTCTCCTTGTCTTGCCACTGCCTCCCACAGAGAGGCAAGCCAGATTGCAACCTGTAAGGAATGGGTAGTGGATGAGTAGAGGCAATCAGTTCTTTCAAGAAGTTTGACTGTGACGGAAAAAAGGTGGGGTAGTGGCTTAAGGGAATGGCAGAAATAAGCCAAGGATATTTTTAGGCTAGAGATCTGAGCAGGTTTATGAAAGGAGGCACAAAGACAACTGAAAAGAAGATTGAAGGCGGGGGAGCTGACTCTTGCTGGAAAGGAATTGGGGAGTCTAGGTAGAGGGCTTATAGTGCCTTGGCAAGGAGGAGGAGAACCCTCTTTTTCTGAGGAGAGGAGGGAAAATTCAGGCAGAGGAATAAAAGGAGTTTTAAAAGAATGAGATGACTTACAGCGGCACCCAGGCACTAATGAGTTAGAGAGCTGTGCACGGTGCAAACCTCCAGTCCTGGTACAGATTTGGAAGAGTGGAAACCAGGACTGCAGAGACAGTGACCAGCCACATGGAAACAGTAGTCAGCTTTTTTTTTGCTTCTACAGGTTTTTCCTCCTTGTTATAAATTCTTCTGTGATACTAGATAAGACTAGAAACTGATTAGTGGTGGTAGCAACTTCAAAATAAAATTGGAATTTTGAAAGCTGAAACACATGGGCTGTTCTCAAGGTCTTATAGAATGAAAATGTTGAGAAGTTCTGTTCTGTGTGGCCTGGTCCTATGTGAGCATATTGGGAAATATTGGTTAAGATTTTCCATTGAGGAAGAAAAAATGATTTGATTCCTCCCCCCATTTCATCTGCCCCCAAGAGAGACTAGGGTTTAGAGAAAATAGTTGATGGCCAAAAAAAAGCTATCTCTTTGTACTTGCAGTGACCTGCACATTAACACTGACCCAAAGCCCTAGAACTCCCTGTGGAGGCAACTTCCTGACTGTATCAGCTTCCTGACAGAAGTCTCCTATGAGAAGGGCTAGGATCTGAGAGCCTATCTTTCAGCTTTGAGTCATAGTACAGAGCAAAAGAATCCATCATATTCTAGGGTGAGAGTTTTGCTCTCACTGCTGCTCTGGGTTAAGGAGGCTAGCAGAGAGCTAGCGTGCCCCAGAGGAATGCAGACGACTGGCAGTTTAAACCCTGACTTTCTCCTTATGAGTAGAATGCCTTCATGGGAAGCTGTGGGTCACTCTGAACACAGGACTTCTACTCTGCTCTCTTGCTTCAACTCATGCTGAGATGGGGCCCCTTGGTACAAATGGCCTGATGAGACAAGAACCAGGGAAGGTTGTCTTAGAGAACTTGCTCTCCCTGTTGTGCCTGCCTTCTGAGACTTATAATGACTGTGTCTTGCATAGCATTGTGGTTTGTGCTGTCTGGTTCACTGCTGTCATTGCTGGTAAATATGTGAGCATCAGTGAGTCTTAGAGTTCAGTATCCTGTCCTGTTCAGGTCCCTGTCTCACTTTTTCTTGACTACTGTCGTGCATCTCATTGGCCTCTAATTTCTGAAATGAAGATAAAAACAAAACTGAAAATGCTCTGGAGCAGTTCTGCCAACTCCTGGTTTTTCCATTCGCTTCCTCTGATAGCCATTGGTTTGGGGAGACTTCCTTTTCCTGCCCCAAGCTGTGGGCCTGTGCACAATAGCCCCTGGCCTGTTGCCCATCAGATAGCAAGGCTGGCTCTCCGCAGGCAGCAATGTGTATTGGAAAAAGTGAAAGTCTCTGGCTGGAAATAAAAGCTCAGAAAACCTTTGCTATTTTCCCTCAGCCCCTCCTGGGTCTGTAGTGCTGGCCTCATGTGAGCTAGTCCCATCCCACCTGCAAAACTAGGGAAGAGTTCACTGGCCATCTAGTGAAGGAGAGAATGGGGGGCAGGGCCATGAATATTTTTTTTCAGGGATGTCTCACACTAGATGCTTCATGTAACAGACTGAGGGCAATTCATCCTGTCTGAGATAGTTTGGACCGATGTCTAGGATCTCATCAATAAGTAAGAGTTTTTCTTTTTCTCTCATCAGTCCCTTACAATAGAAATATTGTTTGTTCTAGGTCAAATGTGTAATACCTATTCACTCCAGATTTTATTGGTCAAGGTTCAGTAGCACAGAACAGAATCCACCCTAACTAGTTTCAGCAAGAAGAGATTTAGTGTATTTCTGGCTTATAGGATCATTGAGAGAATGAGAAACATCCATACCACATAGAAGAGCTCCTCCCTCTTCTGTAATCGGGAAGCCACTAGGTCCAGCGGCACAGTAACCCTCCACTTGGGTCCATGCCACTTACATGGGGATGCCTGCACCTGTGTCCCGACATCAAGCAAACTGGAGACCAGGTGTGAGGCCTCTTCTATTGCTGCAGCAGAAACACCAAAGCTTCGGTAGTATGCCCAGGAACAGCAGGAAGCCATCTAAATCTCACACCAGTGCATCTGATTGGCTGAACCTAAAGAGGGGGTTTAGAAATAATAGCTTTTAGCTGATTAACTTCTGAAGCGCAGGAAGGCATACTAGAGGGTGGAGTAGATCTTGAGTCTAACTCCTATCTGCTACAGAGTGTGAAGGAAATGAAACAATTCTACTGAGTTCCTACCATGTGGATATGTACCTGTGCCATCATATTTATAACTTCCAAAAAAAGGCTATGAGGTAGATCTCCCATTTTTACATTCAAGAAATTTAGGCAAGAGTTTAAATCATTCAGCTGAGTGGCAAAGCCCGATTCGTGTTTATCTGATACCCAAGCTTTTTCTCACAACACTTGCTTGCCTCTCTGGGTTGCTTCTGCTGCTGACAAATGTTGCCAACATATGGATTGACTTTGCATAGAACATGTGGGCTACTAAAATGTTATCCAAAGCCAGAAGTGGGAAGTAGGCACTAGGCTAATGTTTGTAAGCCAAGTGTTAAGTAGTGCCCCATTTTGGGGGGATGGTAAGGCTTAAGAAAACCATCCTTTTTTCATGGTTATGCTAGAATTTTGTGCTACAATGCCAAGGGAAAGGCCAGCTACATGGGTTTTTGACGTCTGGGTCTCTGAAAAATGGAGTAGATTTCTTATTTTTGATCCAGATGTCTGCTCTTCTCATGCTGCATGTCCTGGGCTCTGTAGTCAAAAATCTTGTTTCTCTGCTCTAGGCTCCCAGACCCCTGGCCGAAGCTCGCCTCCCCCTGGCTATGTGCCTGAACGGCAGCAGCGCATTGCCCGGCAGGGGTCCTACACCAGCATCAATAGTGAGGGGGAGTTCATCCCAGAGACCAGCGAGCAGTGTGTGAGTATGGTTGGGGGGGAGTGTTATTGGGGAGGGATCATATAACTAAAGTTTTATTGGGGGGATTCTCAGTAGGCATGGTACAGAGATAAGGGACTTGAGCCCCATCCTATAGCCCTTTTGTAAACCAGGCCTGCCCAAATATGGATTATTTCTTTTTATTTTTTATCTTTTATTTATTTTTATTTTTACATTTTTTATTAAATTTATTAGGGTAACATTGGTTAATACAATTATACATTTTCAGGTGTATATTATAATTTGACATCTATATATTCTATTGTGTGATTACCACCCAAGGATTATTTCTTTCTAGGAGCCAAATTTCAATTCCTGCTAAAGACAGGACCTCAACTACCTAGCTTCCTTGGTGTTGGATACTCATCTGACAGTTTTTCCTCTCCTGTGGTTCTCTCACTGGTCTCTCTGCAGAATACCAACCTGCTATTCGTATATTTCCTTGTAACTGCCTGTCATTTCAGCAGAGTTTTAACATATGACTAATCCTAAACCGACAGATTTTGTTTTTCATTGGCCATATTTTAGTTTTGCTATTTCTTGATGAAAGGTAGAGAGTATACTATATCCAGATTATACTGTAGGATTGGTTTCTTTGGGTGAAATTTTGTGATGGTAAGCAACTATATTAGTTTTCTATTAAGACATAACAAATTACCACAAACTTAGCGGCTTACAACAGCATGCATTTATTCTTTTAGTTTTCTTGGGTCAGGAATCCAGTCATGACTTAGACGGGTCCTGTACGTAGGGTCACACAAGGCTGCAATCAAGTATTGGCCAGGCTGCATTTCTTTCTGGAACTTGGCGTTCCCTTCCGAGTTCACATGGTTTTTGGCAGAATTTGGTTCCTTGTGGTTGTAGCACTGTGGTCCCTGTTTTCTTACTGGCTGTTAGCTAGGGACCACTCTGAGCTCCTAAAAGCCACCTGCATTTCCTTGTCATGTGGCCCTCTCACAATATGGCAGCTTCTTCAAGGCCAAGAAGAGAGTCTCTTGCTCCAGTCTGCAAAGATAGAGTCTTATAAAATGTAACACAATCACAGGAATGAATACGCCATCTTCTTTGCCATAGTCTTTTGACTAGAAACAAGTTCTAAGTTCTACCCAGACTCGAAGGTTTATATAAGGCTGTGACTTACGAAATGGGGCTCACTTTATGGTTTATCTACCACAGTGACTAACCCATTTTAATGGCTAGCTTTTTGACGAGTTGTTCACTTGATGAAAATGGCATTTGGCTTAGTAAACTCAGCAAGAGTGAGATCTCTGGTCTCACTTTAAAGTTTTTTCACTGAGCTTTCTTTGATTACAAAGAGAAAGATCCACTCTTATAAAATCTGGGGATTTGGTCTGGGGAGGGGAAATTTCTTAAGGGTAAAGCATCTAACAGAAGGGCCAACACCATCACATGGGGGGATTAAAAAAACACCACTTCCTCAGAAACAGCTACCACAGCTGCCAGCATGACCACTGAGGCTACAACCACAACACCCACCACCGTGGCTACTACTGGAACCACAGCCACAACAGGAGCTACCAGTTCTACAGAAGCACCTACCACCCCCTTCAATAGCTAGTCTCTATACAACATTATTCAAACTGTATAGGCTATGAGAAGCCTTTACACTGCTTCTTTTCTCTTCTGTATTCTTGCCTTCCAGGTAAATTTGTGCTTAGAACAGTGACCTGGAGTGCTTTTAGCTGCAGATTCTCTTCTTGAGTATTGTACTGACTATCTTTTCTGTTTTCTCTAACCAGAGCACTCTGAACATTAGCTTTACTAGAGGTGACTTGGGTATAAAATCTCAGAAATTGCAAATGAGTTAGATTGCCTGTGGTCTCCATCTCTTCCATGGTCCTGTACCCTGGTCCTTTTACTCCTTTACTTTACCTGACTGGCACAGGAAGGCGTGGGAGTATTATACTCTTAGTGAGGACAGACTTTTAGAAAGAGGCCAAGGAAGGTGGCTGCTGGGGAATGCTTAGGTTCTTCTCTAGTGCCTCGCCCCCTTAGCTAAAGAGAATTAATTGCTCCTGGTAACTGAGTCATTCAAGATAAATCCACTTAACAGAAACCAAAACAGCATAGTATACAGTGAAAGAATAGTCAATTGAGACTTTATTGAAAAGTGAAACTAAGTTTATTTTGTTTTTGCTTTAATTAGATTTAGGTAGTAATTGCATCTATTTGCTAATTTTTAAAATGAACAAAAGCATGATTCATGTTAATTTTTTTGGCTTAATTTTTCTAACAAAAATTTTGCCAGCACAACATAACTTCCTTTACTTCCCCTTTGACTTCTGCAGCACTGTCATAAAGAGGGTCCTTTTTAACAGAAGGCTTTATGGGATTCACTGGGTTTTCCAAAGGCCTTTCTTGAACCTTTAGTATTCCTCCGCCATCGCACCTGCCATGTTGCTGTACTTGCCCATTCTCTCTTCTTCTGTTAACTGTTCCAGCTGTGCCAAAAATGCACTTGGTGGGTTGGGAGCAGTTCTTTTCCATATTGGTTTTATCCACATTGGGAAATCCTATATCCTTAGCAATATTTGCAGTTTTACTTTGTAATTAATTTGCTGTGATTTGTAGTTTTTAAAAAATCATATAACAGTATGACCTAAAGTATTTGAAGTTACGAGTGAGATGAACTCTAGTATTAAATGAGAAGAGGTCATTTGAATTGGAAACTAATTTTATAATAGTTGTTAGTGAATCTTTAGAATTCTGATATTCTCCTTCCCTATGTCATGTCTAACTTTGGATCTCAGATAATGAATACTCTGATAATGGATATCCCTCATGGGCAAAATGGAGGAGAGGTTAGTTGGAGATAAAGCTAATCTGAAGGCTTTTTATTACTGCATTTAACCAAGGGCCAGAGAAAGATTTTAACATATATGCCTATTGCCTCTGAATGAGAACCAGGAACTGGGAAATTTTTGATCTGTATCAGCTGTTTACTAACTGGTTTCATAACTTTAGACAATTCTCCTAATCTTTCTAGACCTGCAGGGACTCGTCTATGAAGTGAAGGCAATACTTGTTTTTGTAAATTATTAATTACAAAGTATAAATAGAAGCATTACGGTACCACCCAAATGCACTGGGAGCCTCTGAAGGGTAGTACCATCTTCAGCGCCAGGCTCCAGTCACAAGCCAAGAAAATGCCAACAAGAGAAGTAGCATCACTGCTTTGCTCTCCTGGCAGAGCTCCTTGGGATGCCAGCCAGGCATTTTTCTCCCTCCTGGAAACTTGCCTTTCAAACTGCGGGGGAGAATAGTACCTTCCTGATCATTTGTCCCACTGCATCGGTAGAGAAAGGGCACTTTTATATTTTGACAAAAAGGACCATTTGCTGGCCTTGGCTGGGCCTTAAAGCCCTAAATCACCTGGCTGGAATTTGGGCTGGGGCTGGGGTTTTATTATATGACTTGCCTTGCAGATGCTGGACCCACTGAGCAGTGCTGAAAATTCCTTGTCAGGAAGCTGCCAATCCTTGGACAGGTCAGCAGACAGGTATGGGACTGTGGCTGGTTTGGGGGTTAGTGCATAAGCGTTTTTGGAACTGATGGGCTAAGGAAATAGAATTAACTAGTACGTGTGTCTCTCTGGTCTGCAGGCCCATGGTAAAAACGTCATGCTTCTGGGAAAGAAACCTCTTGCTGGAATTCTTAGCCCTCCTTAATTTTCAAACACCATGAGAATGTTATGCTTACATAATTAGATGAATATAATAGCAGCTCATAACAGCATCTCACATGTATTAAATGCTTGCTTGTTGTTTCAAGTGCTTTACATGTTTGACTTTCCACATAATACTTGCTGCTCTTGTACTCTTGGCCTCATTGCTGTGATGTGGACTGAGAAGCAGTGGACCTTCAGTGTTTCAGCAACAAAATTGAATTATCACCTGTGGGTTTACTTTCATTTTTTTTTTCTCCAGGTGTTTCTGGTGGAATAAGAAACTGGGATATAAAAACCAGACACAAAATATCCAGACTGCCAAGCTTACTATACTGTCTGCTTGGTGTGTTGTCTTGTTCTTACACTTTGAGAGAGGACAGGTGCTCTCCTTTATATACCAAATGGTTCTGTGGAGCTGGTTTGCCTGTCAGCGGGGGTATATTTGAAGTTGGCTTTGGCACTGATCCAACCAGTCTCTCACCTTGACCTTGTTATGACCAAGAGCACGTTTGATCATGTCTGGCTGGGCTTAGGGCTTATGGTCAGAGGCTATGGAACAGGTTTGGGGATATTTTTTCTTTGTGTAACTGATTAATTGTTCACGTGGGTACTGACCTTGTGACCATGACCAAATTTGTACTATGTCTTTCCTAACAGATCTGAGCATTGATGAGCACTGTCCCTTCTAGTTATCACAGAATATAGTTGTAGTTACTTGTTGGTATCCAATTTGTAACTTTGTGTGGGGCTTATTCTCCAACTAGGAGAGTAAGAAGGCATAAAAGTGTCAGGAGTTGCTGCTGCAAACTGAGGGTCTGCCAGGATAGAGACCGATTATGGTTTTGGACTATCTCCTAAGTTTATGGCCAAGCCAGGAGATGGCAGTAGGAAAGGACTGCAGATGGTCTGGGTCTAGTAGTTATAAGGGAAAGGACCATTCAAGTGGATGCTGGGTAAGATAGCTAAATTTGCTCACTTGATTCTTGGGGTTTTTCTTTATCCCTCCCATGCTTTGTTTTCTTCTCCAAATATTAGTCGAGTAGCTTTGGATAAGTCCCTTAACCTCTCTGTTCCTCAGTTTCCCTATCTCTAAAATGGGATGGTGGCAGTTAGTCTGAAAGGAAAATGGTTGGTGGTGTTGCTATTTTTGTTACTGCAAGAGATGTTTTGGCAACTCTTCACCTGTTACTAAAGTGGAAGGAAAGATTAAGACGGGAAAGGGCTGTGCAGCCAGGCTGGAGGTCGGTAGGAATGGAGCGGTTCGTCATTCAAGGTCCTGTCAGATTTGGGCCTCAGACTAGTAAAGAGAAAGGAGGTTGAGCACAGAAAAAGACTTGTTTCTCTCAAACTCTGCTTCTTACCATGTAATGACGTGGGAGGGAGTTAGAAAAGGGTGTCCGTCGATATCCTGCCTTCTGCCCTAGTGAGCTGCTTTGGAAGTATGCTAAAGTCTACTTTGTGATTTCGTTTTGTTTTTTTTAAGCCCATCCTTCCGGAAATCGCGAATGTCCCGAGCTCAGAGCTTCCCAGACAACAGACAAGAGTTCTCAGGTGAGTTCCCCAGTGCCTGGGTAGAGCTGCAGACATTCTGCTTTTGATAGCTGAGTTGGGAAGTCAGGACTGTTATTTTAATTCTCCTTGGGCCTACTGCTCTGAGGTCTCAGGTGACCTAGGGGCTTAAACGGATCACTCACGATGATCTACCCAGAAGCCAGTGATTCCTCTGTCTTACTCAGATCGGGAAACTCAGCTCTATGACAAAGGGGTCAAAGGTGGAACCTATCCCCGGCGCTACCACGTGTCCATGCACCACAAGGACTACAACGATGGTGAGTGCACCTCCACCCTGCCCCCTGCTGGCTGCCTCAAGAAGAGCTTTGCCATGGAAAAATCACTGTCAGCGAGTGGGCCTGGGCACTCCAGACCTTGTGTTTCCATTATTCCTGAGGACCTGTGCCCACACTTGAGGTATTAGAGACAGGGAAAAACAAAAAAAGAGGGAGGGTGGTATTCGTAGACCAGGACACTGCCACTGGGAAGTCTGTCTTTTGTCTGAGTGCACAGCGTGCTCTAGGGCACCAGATCTCCATTGCCCTCTTCTACCCCATGGCATCAAAAGGAATGGAGCTTCTGCAGAGGTTTAAGATAAGGATGCCTAGGAAAACGCAGACTTCAGCCATGGATTGGTCTTGTGAGAGATGTGGGGCCTTCCCTTTGGCCAGGGCTCCCTGAACTATCTGTGGCTGCTTTCTAATTCCTGCTTTTGTCCTAATTCTCAAGGTGCTTGAGACATTAGCCATTCTGACATGAGTCAGGTAGGAGAGCAGATAGGATGGGCTGGAACTGGCGTTATGACCTGGTTTACACATTTAGCCTCGAGGCCAGAGGTCTGACTTGCTCTGCTCTGACCCCTGCACCCCTTTAGGCAGAAGAACATTTCCTCGAATACGACGTCATCAAGGTAACCTGTTCACCCTGGTGCCCTCCAGCCGCTCCCTGAGCACAAACGGCAAGAACATGGGTCTGGCTGTGCAATATCTGGACCCTCGAGGGCGCCTGCGGAGTGCGGACAGCGAGAACGCCCTCTCTGTGCAGGAGAGGAATGTGCCGACCAAGTGTGAGGAGTGGGCCCTGGCTAGGAGGAGACTGCCCAGGGGATGGTCAGACGAGCTGCAGGGCAAGAGGCTAGTGAGTCCACTGGGGCTGTTGGGCTCAGCAGTAGGCTGCTCTGGCCCATCATCTCCACTCTGGAAGAGCCTGAGGGTGGACAGCGGGCCCCCTAGACCTTAGTCCTCACTCCACTGTTGTGTGACAAGCCACTTCCCCTTTCTGGTCTTTAGTTTTTCCATGTTTAAACTGAAGTACAGTGTCCTTAATCCCTGCCCTATTAAGGTATTTAGGAGCTTTGGAAGTATAGGTGTTTGATCAATGCAGAAGAGCATTTAATCATGATCTTAGCCAGTCTTCTGCTTCTCATGACTCAGACTTTAAGGTCTGGTTGACCAGAGCCCTGGGCTCACTCCAGATGTAGGTGGAGCTCAGAGGTTCCATATAGAACCTCCAGAGAATGAGGCAGGATATCAGTAAATAATGTGCAGAGACTAAAGTTCCTTCTTTCTGTTCTCCTGTAGCTCCGAGTGCCCCCATCAATTGGCGTCGGGGGAAGCTCCTGGGCCAGGGTGCCTTTGGCAGGGTCTATTTGTGCTATGACGTGGACACAGGACGTGAACTTGCTTCTAAGCAGGTCCAGTTTGACCCAGACAGTCCTGAGACAAGCAAGGTACTGCCTTCCCCATGGTCTGACTTCCATTTCTTCCCTCTCGACCAATCAAATGCCTGTCTCATTGCACAGACTTAATTGCTCAAGATGCTGTAGGTTGCTTCCCCCATCACTCTTCCCTCAAGTTCCCTTGCTGTCCACCTTGGCCTTGGCCATGGAGTAAGGGACCATGGTTCAAAGAGCACCAAGCACTCAGGGGAGGGATTGGGTATGAAGAACTGAGCTGATGCGAAGTGCCAAACAACCAAACTGAGAGGTGATGACCAGTGCCACAAAGAGCAGTACCTCTCTCTCCACCTGCCCCCCATTAACCAAACAGACATCTGTCTCAGCCCAGGAAGGAGCCTGTCTTGGAGTTCAGCTTGATTATGGCCTACACTCCACTTTGGGTGGATAAATAACAGCAGTAACCTCAACCAAGTACCCATAACTCCCACCCCACTGTCTACTAAGTACCTATAACTCCCCCTACCCCACTGTCTGCCATTTTCCCATGTGGGAATACCACCATCCCAACGGGTTGCTCAGCATTGTGGCCAAGGGCCAGGCAGTTGAGAGAGTCCCCCTTTTCTCCCGCTGAAGTTTCTAAGGCAGGTAGACCGCCCTCCCGCCGCCCCACCCCCTGTGGGTACTGACTAGGTAGGGCAAGCTGAGCTGATCCCAGGTGGGCAAACGAGGGTCCAGAGAGCTGAGGTGATGCTGGGCCCCTCCCATAGGAGGTGAGTGCTCTGGAGTGTGAGATCCAGTTGCTGAAGAACTTGCAACATGAGCGAATTGTGCAGTACTATGGCTGTCTGCGGGACCGCGCCGAGAAGACTCTGACCATCTTCATGGAGTACATGCCGGGGGTATGTGCCCCTTGATGTATGTACAACATACACAGAGAGAGCCTTACCTGGGGCTGAGGGCTGCAGTGGAGGGATCCTTTGGACATGGGTATGATCACCTGAGACTCCGAGGCTCGGAGGAGAAGGTGAGGTGATGGCAAGACTTGCAGTCAGGAGGACCCTGCCTCTGGTCACAGTGATGGTGTGGGATGAGAAATGTCCTAGGCCACCCTCACCTCAGGGTTCCAGGATGGCTGCACTGTCCAGTAAGTACCACCTTTACCCAGAGCAGAGGGGCTTCCCTTCTGGATTCAGGTTGTACATTGCTTAAGGGAAAGACTCTCAGACTTTTCTCCAAGTTGCCCAATAGCCCCTAGCAAGGCACCCGGCACATTGCAAGTGGAGATTGGATGAGTCGCTTCTTTGCTGCAATGCTGGGGCCTGGAAGTAGCCTTGCCCCCTTCCTGCCTCCTTCCCACTGTGACTCCCTGACTTTTGTGACTATAGGGCTCAGTGAAAGACCAGTTAAAGGCCTACGGGGCTCTAACCGAGAGTGTGACCCGAAAATACACCCGGCAGATCCTGGAGGGCATGTCTTACCTGCACAGCAACATGATTGTTCACCGGGACATCAAGGGTGAGCAGGAGCAGACTGTGGGTCCCCAAGACCTGGTCACTTGACCATTCCGAACTTACTGAAAAGTGGGACCCTGATTGCTTCCTTGGGGGATTGGTGTGAAAATTGGTTGAACAATTTGGGAAAATACTTCAGAGTAAACTGCTCTGCAGTGTTGACCATGGCAATGATCATCTTGTGCTGTAAGGCTGAGGCTTCTGTCACTAGCCTGTTTGTCCTGTGCAGCTCACGTCTAGTTCATGGTAGCCCCGTCCTCCCCAGCAGCCCTGTGAGCTGG